CCAACCAGCTACTAGACAACGAATCAAAGCAGAAACCACCTCCCAGACTCAAGAAGTAGCACCTGGTTCCTGGACTGAACTTTCCTGGGACACTACTGTGCCAGCAGTAGAGGAGACAGGGAGACCTAGGGCATGCTAGCTGAGCCTGCTGACAGGCTGGCTTCCAACTGTGTCAGGGCACCTGGATCCACTGCTGGTATGGTATGTTCTATTCTTGGTCCAGTGCTGTTGCCAGAAGAAAATTCCCAGTGGATTTACCAGTAAAGTTTAGCCTTTACCAGGTAGGTTACAGCTTACAGAATAGAAACCACCTGTCTTAGAGCAGAGTCCCACATTCAGTTCAAACCCACTGCTCCTGTCTCTTTCTTTTCAGAGTCATCCAAAGAACAGCACTCTCAAGGTTATTCTGTTTCCCTTTCCAAACCACCTGCTGGCTGCATGCTTCTAGGTGGGTCAAGTCTGATGTAGTATTTCCCATTTTGTGCAGTGGGTTTCAGACCACATCCTAAAAGCACTTCTATAACACTGAATCCTGTAAAGGTGAGCAGCCTACATGGCGACTCCTCTGTATGTTCGACACTGTCAGAGGTAAAGAGTAGTGCATGAATATCCACACCAGCTGCTATATGGGTCAGGGTAAATGCTGAGAAAATAAAATGGACACAATGTATTTAATTGAACATTTGTTTGATTTTTTTGAAGGATACTTTGAAAATCTTTGTTACTCTTCATTTAATACAGTGATAACTTTTAAATGTAGCAGAAGTTTATACTGCCACACAAACTTTTTGAAATTCTGTCACAAGCTCTAAAATAATATTTTCCTTTGGTGCCACATAAACAAAACATCAGATCATTATCTCTGTGAAACAGAGGCAGTGCTGTTTGCCAAATATAATTTGTGAGCTATTTGGCAGAATTTGCAACTGTAAACTGATTCTATCATTATGACTGTAATGTCTTACCAACAGTCAAGAGACCCTGGGAACAAGAAAAAAGTGGTTCTCAAGTTCTTCTAGCATGATATAATGTGTATATTTGTTGAGCCCAACCAAATAAATTATATGCTAGATGTGCTTTTAAAAAAGAAAAAGGATTGTGTGGGTTTTTTTAAATTGAGGTACTGTATATTTGAGATGACCACATGATTTCCAATAATTGTCAGTCTCTGTTCAGAAGTCTATAATCCAGTATTTATCAGGATTAAATGATGAATATATTTACATTAGAGTGATATTTATGTCTCAGCAATTTCTGATTCTGTTTAGCTCTGGGTAACTCAAAATCCATTAAAAATTATATATTTATATATAGACACACAAACAGATTCTTTGGCCATAATTTTCAAAAGACCAAGCTTACTGTTCCAGTTCACATTTTGGATATGAAGTAACTGGATTTTCATAACTGGTAACATTCAGTAGCTTTCAGTCAAATTTAAAGTAGTTGCTGGATGCTAACGACTTTTGGAAAGCAAATTCTTTCCCTGAAGAGCTGGAAGACCCTTTTCAGCAATTCTCTTGATAAATCTATGAGACCAAAGTAGGTACTTTTATCAAGTGCACTCTGTATTTCTTTGTGGAATGAACAAAGTTCCCACTTTTGTAGAAGTTGTAAGTTTTATGTGTTTTTCTCTCCAAGAGTTCGTTCCTGAGGTAGGGGGGCGGGAGGGGCAGGGTCTAACTCATCTGAAAACCCCAAGATTATTTGCCTGTAATGATGAAAATCTAGCAACTAAGCTTGGGGCTTCATTAAGTAAATTTAGCTTATGCCAATGCCACATATTATATATTATTAGTCTGGTGCCTATATGCTTCGGTCACAGGTTAGGATCCTGGAGGTCAGATGCTATAAAAGCACAGCACAAAATGACAGTCCTTTCCCTACAAGCAGCTTTAGTATAAGAAAATACAAAACAACTCATGTCTTCATGCATTAACAGCATACACAAGAATTGGTTATCCCTTCCCATACCATCCAAGCTACAAATAAATATGCTACATAATCTACACAGACAGGTCACACCATTTCTTGTACAGATAATGACAATTTCAAGGCCTGACTCTGCTCTGACCAAGTTCAACAGCAGCTTGCATTCCCATTTCTGAACGTGCTTTAGGAGCCTAAGATTGAAACAAAAGCCCAAGCTATAAGAGGAAATAACAGTGTACTAGGAGAAGATAACGTATAGGCTTAAGAGTCAACCAACTTTGCTATTTGAACCAGATTCTTCAAGGAAGTCATGCAGAAGGCCTGCACCCCCAGAATTCCTATTTCTACAGGCCAGTAAATGGAAGATCACCCCTTTTCCTCAGGTTTGCCAGGCTGACACACAGTGCAGTACCAGATGTGCTCCTCAGTCTAATCCTATCCTCCCCCCTGATTCACGTTTGCTAAATTCAGAGGAGTATGTGGGAGAAGAAACTCTGTCTCTGCCTGTCTTCTAGGCTGGGGGTGGGTGGATTATCTGAGACTTAAATCAAGCATTTCATTAAATCAAATGAACCAGGCACTTGCTGAGTGAGGTGAAGTCTGTTTTTGTGTGCTAGAGGCTGTAGAGAAAATCCCAGGACCTGAAGTCATGCTTTATGGATGCAGGCCTTGGTTTCCTCTGGATGGGAAGCTGCGTGCAGAGTCCTGAGGCATTCCAGCCCCTTCCTGAGTTGTCCAGAGCAACCTGTAGGGTTAATACAAAAATTGCTTTTAGTTACAGCTTAAATACAGCTTCTCTACACTTCATCCAAGGGAACCTGATCTCAGCTGAGGTCTAGAGATAGTAATGAAATATAAAGAGCCCCCAAGTTACTTATGTTTATTCTTTCCACTTTTCTTCCAAAGATGTGTAATACTTTCTTGTCAAGCCTGTTAGCAAAAAGGTTCAACAAACTAAAAAAGCAAACAAAAACCCTCAATTTCACAAGAAACTGTTTAAGATCCCTGTGAAACCATGCTTAATTAACTGTCTTTTGTCATGTTGCATAAGTGACTTTTTTTTTCTCTCTCTTAGTGGTTTCCACAGTTCTGTGCATGGGTGCCATCCCAACTTAATGACCTAGAATTATGTCTAATTGCTGGTCTATCCTTCTTTCCCACATCATGTGTGGCAAGGAACTTTTCTCATGACAACAATGCCTTAGTTTTTTTTTTTTTATTTTGTCATTTTCACTCATATCCTTTTATGTCCTGATCTGGGGCCTCTTAAAATGAATTTGTTTCATACATGAAAAGAGAAAGACTTGGCACATCTTACACTGAGAACGCAGCTCCCCCAAAAAGTTTTCCCAGGTTAGACATCTGTCAAGCAAGTGCCTTCCAAGCGAGGTGTCTTGACTCCTTCCACACAGTAAGGGGTCAGGGCATTTCCTGGACACAGGAGGTGTAATTCTGAATGTTTGACATAGGTTAGATAAATCATGCACTAAAAAATACTTGGTTTTTTCCCCCTTATTTTCTTGTAAAGCATGAAGACGAATAACTGCAACACAAGCACATATCCCAAATATGCATAAAGCAAATGGAGATGAACCATTTCCCTAGTGTCTACATTGTAATATATGTACTATCTGAAGGAAGATATGATAAAAGGAAGTATCAGGGCAGAGGTGGATAGAAAGAAGGGGAAGGGTATAGAGCATACCTAACCTCTCATGTGGTTCAAATATGTCACCTCAGGCAGTAGGGGAGGAAAAAAGTTTTTGTGTATGTGTGTGTTAGAACCATCCTAGTTTACCTGCATCTCATTGAGCAGTTCAGGCAACTTTTCAAGGTTCTAAACTGAAATGCTTGCTCTGCCAAAGCATTATCCTAGAATTGTGCTTTTTGGCATCAGGAGCATATGGAGCATAGGAGTAAGCTATGTTGCTCCATCATCTGAACATCCAGCAACTCCCACTTTGGCGTAGGGAAAGAAAAAAAAAAAGGCAAGACCTTTCAGAAAGCCCTGTTTCTATTTTGACAACCTAAACTGTCAAATTCAGTTCCTATGTGAAAAGCAAGAGCTTGTGACAATCTGAACCTCTTTTTCTCTCGACACCACGCACTGCAGAACTACATCCCACCATTCCACTGCCACTGCATGAGCTCCAGCCCAGGCAGGTGACTCCATGCCTGTGAGGCTCCCAGAGCTGCTGAATTCACAGTTCTTCTCGCTCCCCAAACCATCTGCTCCTTTATCCTCGAACACTGGCACCACAAAGGAGAAAGGACTTCTTATATCCCCTGTGCCCATATCCCTGGGAGAGAAGCAGACCCCTCTGTGTGTCCTATCCCCAGGGGTCCAGTAGCTGGGGGAGAAATGAAAGTTTGGGGAAGTGCCCCAGGGCCTCACAGATGGTATAGAAAAATTGGATTCTTTACCCAGTGTGCAACAAACAGATAATTACACACTCGAGAGAGACATTGATTATTCTCTCTACAACTACCTGAAAGGAGATTGTAGCCAGGGGGGCTTGGCCTCTTCTCCCAGGCAACCAGCAATAGGATGAGAGGACATAGTCTCAAGTTGCACCAGGGGAGGTTTAGGTTGGATATTAGGAGGAATTTCTTCACAGAAAAGGGTGATCAGACATTGGAATGGGCTGCCCACGGAGGTGGTGAGGTGGTGGAATCCCTGTCCCTGGAGATGTTTAAGGAAAGACTAGACATCTTAGTGACATGGTCTAATTGACATGGTGGTGTTCAGTCATAGGTTAGACTCGATGATTTCAGAGGTCTTTTCCAACCTAATTTATTCTGAGATTCTGTGATTTATTTCAGAGTCACACAAGCCCAGGTGCTTGGTGGTATCCCACGAATCAGGCACGCCAACTACCAAAACTTTTTACTGTTCATACAATTTTAGCAAACAGAGGCATTGATGTTACACAGTTAACGATTAGCATTAATTAGTATTAATTAGCATCGACGGCGCCCCTCGGGGCCCCCCGCGATGGTGCCTCACACCGCCCTGACGTCACTTCCCGGGGCGGCCGCAGGGCCGCCCCTGCCGGCCGCGCTCACCAATGGCGGCCGTGGCGGGGCCGGGGTGCGGGCGGCGGCGCGGCGGCTCATCGGCTGCGCTGGGCGCGGCGCGCCACGACTACTCGGTGCGACGAGGCGTGGAATAGGCAACCACGTGTAACCTGCCTGGTGGTCTGGCCACCCTCGCCCTGCTTGTCTAACGCGCTGCGGTGAGGGGAGGCCGGGCGGCGGGCGGGGCGGGCGGGGCGGGGGCTCCTGCGGGCAGCGGGGGCTCCCTGCGGGGGAAGCGGCCGCGCCGGCCCCACGTGCAAGGGGCACAGCTCTCACAGCCTTGCCCCCCAACCCCCGTCGCAGGAACAAGAGGAGAATTATGCGCATCTTCACCCTGCCCCCAGCCGCCGAGACGCCGCCCGAGCCCAACTTTTACGACAGCATGAAGAAGATCCGCCTGCGGCAGCAGCTGGAGATGTACTCCATCGGTAAGTCGGAGGGAAGAGGGGGTTCCCTCGGGCCTGTGGGCGCTACTGGGGTCCGTTCTTAAAGGGCTGGCCTCGAGCTTGCGATGCGGACAGCAGAGCAGAGCCGCGGCACCATGTGGGCAGGGTTTCTGCAGCAGCCAGGGCTGTAAGGACTGAGGTGTGAGGAAGTGTGGAGGGAGAGAGTGGCTGTGCAGTTCTCTGAAAGCAAATGTCAAAACGAATCCCATGTTTAACTTTGAAAGAGTCTGGAATGTCAGAATGTTGTCAAAACGTGGATGGATTTGTAGATGTTGAGAGGACTGCGGAATCATGAGTAACTCAACCACATATATTGAAAATAAATGAGAATTTTACTGTACCAACAAGTGTTGCCACACTCATCTTAATGTTGAAGGTCAGGATGGAGGCAGGAAAGAGCCCCTTGCCCTTCTTATTCCAGAGGCCCAATTCAGAGAAACACGTGGCCTTCCTTTACATCTGCCATATGTGCATACCTAGAGGTAATGTGGGAAAAAATACTTAATGAGCTGAAACCACCTTTTAAATGCAAAGATTGATATAAAGATTCTTAGACCAGGCCATTGCATTCTGTAGGAACAAGATAGGATGTTCTTCCTGTGTAGAGATGCCTGCTGTCATTTTTTGATGGTGCTTATACCACTGCACACAACTCTTTCATCTCCCTTTGCTTTGATAACCAGTTTAATTTTGAAGTCAATGTAATTGTTAGCTTGTGGCCTGTGTATTGTGGAGGAGATGAGCAATGTGGAGGTCAACCTTGTGACTAATGAGTTGTTCAGGTCATTTGTAATAGTACTTCTGAAGCCATAGTCTTTAATTTTACTTATTTTAATGAAAGGACCTGAATGGAATCATAGTTCCCTGCCATTTATTTACTGACATTTTGCTATGACCCTACTGTTCAGCATTTTCAAGGCCAAACACTAAAGGAGAGAAGTTCCAAATGGTGACTGGAACTTCCCCATGTGTGGCTGTGGTGAAACTACGTTCTCTGATATTAAGTCTCTTTCTATTGTCATATTTACACATATATATTTGCAGATATCTATACATGCATAAACATATATATATACATGTATAAAATAAATTATATAACTGGTGTTGATTGGTGTTTCTTTTTTTCAGCGAGGAAGTATGAACAGCAGCAGCAGCCACCAAAACAGACTGAAAGCGTACAGCTCTCAGTGGAATGAAGCCCACAATTATAGGAACTCAGGATATGTATCCAGTGCTGATTATAAGAGTCAGTGCGGAGCTATATTCAATGCCTCTTGATTGATACATATGTGTAGGCAAGGGGGAAAGGAAGGGGACTCTTCCTAAAACTTTGTTCTTAGTAGCTGTTTGCTGAGTCCTCGTGAGGTAAACTGAGTGCCTACTGAAAAATTCAGCATGAAGGTACCCAAAACAGGGCAGACCTGCTCAGAGAAGCCTCTGAGGGTAGAGAAGTGTAGTCTTACCAGTGATTAAATTATTTCTCTCTCTGCTAGCACTGTGGAAATCAGCACCTACCTTCTCTGGCAACAGCACCCTAGAGAAAGCAAGGCAGTATCTATCTGCCTGGAAACCCTTGTGTTCCTTGATAATGGATTGTTGAATTTGTTGAATGCAGTCAGTAAGTGTGAAGACACTGTGGCCTTACTGCCTGAAGGTGAACAGCTTTGAGAGCCCCGAGTGTCGCTGGTGGTAGTGCAAAAAGGTTCTGCTCTCTGTTTATTTGGAGGTTGCGTATGCAATACTGTGAACCTTTCCTGGAGAAACTTCGAGAAGTACACAGAGCTACACATCTAGATGACTCTTAAAGCCATTACTATAATGTTAATAGCAAAGGTGATTAGGTTAATTTAGTCAAATTGTTTTAAAGAATGGGTTTGTCTGTAAAAATCTGTATAAACAGGTCACAGCTTATCCAGGAGAGACTTCATGCTGCAGTTACTTTTTCTTTCTAGGTAAATCACAAAATCAGTCAATTTAAAGAATGCTGCGGAAATTACTTCTTAATAAAAGCATCTAATCATGATAACTACTTGAAAATGTATCATGCTGTAATTCCTAAGGTTACATGACTTGAGTTGGCCGAATGGTGAACAAACAGCGCAGAGTTGGGAGTGTAAATCCAGAGGTTTTTTCCTATTCCATGCTGAAATAAATATTAAGTGTTGAAGCAGTGGTGAGCAGCACTGAGGTTCCATTTGGATATCAGGAAACTTGGCTTTGTGCACCGAATCTTACTAGACTGAAATTATCTGTACTTTCGTGTCTGTAGGGACTGTAAAACATGAACTGGGCCGAACTGACAGTGGCAGAAGGTGTGCCCCATGAAAAGGCTCGTTTGGGTGAAGCATGGCCCGCTGTGACAGCTTTCTCACGTATCACCACGGGAAACAGCACCGGCGTCACTCCGCGGGGCCGGGGGGAGGTGGCCAAGGGGAGTGGGGAGGACGCGGGAGCCCCGGGGCTGCCGGTGCCATGTCCTTCCCACGTGCGAAGTCCGGCTCCGCACCTCCTCCCCGTCCCTCGGCGGGGTTTATGAGGCACAGAGAGCTCCCCGGTGCGCTCTGCCCTCATCCCCATCCACCCCCCGGAAGCGCCGCCGTCTCCTCTCCGCGCGACCTCACTTCCTCCCGCACTTCCGTCTCCGGG